GACTTCGAGATTAATTTTAATTAGCTTTTTAAACAGCCTATTAAGATAATAACTAAATTGTTATGCATCTAGAATTCCTCCGAGTAGTTTGAAATTTGAATGGAAGATTAACTGTTTATAGAAAAATAATATATTAAATGCTTAAATATTAAATATTATGGTACTATAAAAATAAAAAAAGAGTGATTTACATGCATAATATTTAAAATTATTCTATCTATGTTATGGAGAAATATAGAACCTTCATATATCCAACCTTATTCATAATCAATTCTCGCCACTCATAGTAAAATCTTATTATGACTTTTTCAACTTCTTTTTATTGTGATGAGGTTGTCTAAATGACAATATTCACAATTCAAATCCATGACATCATGGTCGAAAACTTCAGCCTCAACCACCATGTGGTGTGGCGAGTAAATACGCTCCATCAATATTCTTCCCCCGACAAGATTCATGAAAGTTTTTCAAGTCTTAAGTGTGCACATAACATTAGGCTCATTGATGTTCTATAAATAAAAAATTATGAATATTAAATATAAATCTATATATAAATATTTAAATTTCGTAGAATAGAAATTCACAAATTAAAATGGCACAAATAATATGATTAATTATGATAATGATATAGATAATGAATGGTGGGAAAATCGCAAAGCAGTTCATACGTGTGGCATTGAAAACTTTGGATTCGGATTCTCACCAATAAATTCGGTAACTGTACCAGTCCTTCAATTCATCATTTTGAACGGGTAGATTTGCAAATCCACCCATTCAAAAAATATTGTAATTTTCATAAATAAAAAACTCTACCATTCAGAGTGAATGAATAATTATGATGGATATCCACACCCGAACATCAAAACTCAATAAAAGCAAATCAACTCATTTTAACTAAAGCAGAAATACGAAGCTTTACGACTGTTATGTGTTTCGAATAATTATATAATAATTTTTATTGTCGTATGAAGATTTAATATTATTTGCGCACTAGAAAATTTGTAATGGTAGAGTAATAGATTATCGTCTTAGTATTGCACGGAGATTCAACATATACTCAGATAGAAAAAAACAATCAATAAAAACAACAAAAGTTTTTATGTGGAAAATCTAGAAAGAGAAAAAATTACGGGGTGTGGCTCAGTTATAAAAATTTATTATAAGTTGATGATCACAAAAACTTTTTGTCTCACAGATTAGAATGAGTTAAAAAGTCTTTTAAAAACTATTTTGAATTACAACGTTGACGTGCAGATAAACTTGTTGCAAGGAGCGGACATCGACCAATAGGTGGTGGTCGATGGTGGTCGGCGACGATAGGCAACGGTTGATAACAATAAGGATGATGCATGACTTCAACTTCTTTTCAATGTTTTAAGCTCTTCGTCAAGTCTCAAGCTCTCATATACTTCTATATTTATAGAGTTTTAAGTGCAATTAATGTTAGAATATAAACCACATTGATCGAATGTTGTAAAGGGTTTCTTTAGATATGACTGCACTTGATGGACATATGAGTGCCTTCATGATGTCGAAAGTGAGCGATCTTGGGCTAGTTGGATTTATCTTACCGAGATACTTGATTTGACAGTGAACTCGCCGAATTCAACATTCGTTTGACCTTCCATATGTGACCAAAAAGCTTCCAAAATTGGTGTAATGGTTTGATTGAGCCTCGATTTAGTTCAGACTAGATCAATATTGGTACCATTGTGTATCTCTTGTTGAACCGATTAGTTTGACTATAAGTATGTTGAAATTGGAACTCTGGGTGTCTCTTAATCAAAATTTGAATCTTTCTTGCACAAAACTTTGCTCCGAAATACGTGTCATACCTTGAAATTCATGTCGGAGTATGGATTGTTGGAATTGTATCAAATAAACACATTGATTTAAAAACTTAGGAGGGGATGCCAAAATTTCTATATGGAATAATCCTAACTCAAAAAAATTAACAGGGCGTAGCCAAATAAAAATAATTGATAATGTAGTTGTAAGTAGATTTGCTCACTCTTCTTAAGAATTAGAGATGATAAAATTACAAAGTTGATAATCATAGATGTGCAATAGTACTTTACTATAATAGTTATAATTATGCTACAGCTATTATGACTATTATAATTATAAATATCACAGTTGGAGGCCACGAAGGCAGTAGTTGACCATAAATACTGTAGTCAGTGGCTGCAATCATGTTAGTTGGCCGCAAATGTTATAATTGAAAATTGTAATAATAATAGTTGGCCGCAAAAGTCGTAGTTGAAAGTAGTAAAAATTGTAGTTTGTCACAAAGGCCATAGTTGGTTTCTACAAAGACTGCAATTGGTCATAAAGGCTCTAGTCGGTGGTTGTAATAGCAGTAGTCGGCTATAGATGCCGTAGTTAAAAATTGTAATAGTAGTAGTTGGTCATAAAAAAGTCGTATTTGTTTGTTATATTATTAGCCATAAAAGGCTATAGTTGGTGGTTGTAATAGCATTATTGGTCACATAGGCCGTAGATGGTGGCTACAAAGGCAGTAATTAGCCATAAAGGCCGTCGTTGGAATACAGCGGTTGCAAGCAAGGTTCATCAAAGGTTAGTGGTCAGTCACGGTAGGTGGTGTTGACCGACGATGTTTGACGACAACTAAGTGGACTATGGTCAGCGACTATGGATGTTGGTTGTTATCAGAAGGTCTCGGCACAGGTGTTAGGCACAACAACCATTTTCAAACTACAACATTTGCAAACAGGGGTCGTTAATGACCAATATTCGATGACGGTGAGCGACAATTAACCATGCTGGTTGATGGCGGCGGATGACAAGTGGTCATCAGTGGATGACGACTATGGAGGCCGATGGTTATCATCAGGTATTCAATACATATGTTAGGCATAAATATCATATTCATATTTTGACGTTTTCAAATAACGGTCTCCGACCGTTGAATGTTTATGGTGATGACCGGGTTGTCCACGACTGATAGGTAGTGGTTGAGGGTGGTTGGTGGCTACGAGACCAGTGGTTATCATTGGGTCTTCTCGTCATACGGGCTAAGAAATTTCCTTTCTTCCCTTCTTCCTACACTTGAAGAGGGTTTTTTTATACGTTTTTAGAGGGGCATTTTGGTCTTTTAGCTGATAATTTTCCCAACCATTTCATCAGGTAATTCATAGTGATCTCTCTTGTTAATAACATATTTTTAATGATTTGAGTGCTCTAATGACATCAAAATTAGAGCATCATAATGAGTGATCTTAGGCTCGTTAGATTTATTTTATCAAGAATCTCGATTTGACTATAATTGATTATAAACATATCAAATTTGGAGTTCATTTTATCATTCAATTGACCATCTAAAGCCTCCAAATATTTTTCAATGGCTTAATCTGGGCTTGACTAAACCTAGATTGACCCCTTTGAAATCATTGCGTCTGTCTTATCGAGGCAGTTCATTTAACTATAAATTTGTTAAAATCAAGCTATTTGTGATTAAATTGCTCACACCGATAATATTAAAAAATGATTGTCATAAATATTTCGTGACTAGACAACTTTGATTTCCAATATTCATAATAATAAGATTTGTCACAAATAATGTCACAAGGCACTCTAAACCTCGAGCTTCTATATGATCTTTTGCATATATGGATATAAAAGGCCTACATGACAACCAACTAATAATTATTTTTAAAATTTTTATAGTTACAAACATACATAATAATTTGCTTATATACACAAACTGTTAATACAAAATCATAATTTTTCAAAACCCAAACAACATAAATAAGTAAATATATAAGAATATATACATTAGTCATTGTATTAATATAAAATTAAATATAAATTAGTTACTAGCAGTATCACTAGCATCATCATCAACAACATCACCATCAACATGAATCAAATAATTTTTTTACATCGTACCATATAACTAATTACTTGTGATATTGGCTCATCTTGAATTTATTTGATGTAAATGAGGACCATTTTCTTTCCTTAGAATAGCTTCTAAAAACATACATGAGATCCTTGGTCAATCCACTTATTATCTACATTATGCATCTAAGGCAATAAAAGAGGACATCTTTTCTTAGAATAGCTTCTAAAAGCATACATGAGATCCTTGGTCAATCCACTTGTTATCTACATTATGCATCTAAGGCATATATATTCTTCCTTTTTACATGTATAGCAACTTTAGGTGAATAGTTATTAATTTAATCAATCATTATTTTTCTTATATGATTTTGGTGGAGCTCAATTTTTAATTACGTTTGTTTTAAATCTATTTCTAGCAATGTAGCAATTTGTTTCCATTAATATAAAATACTTATTTTCATGTTTTAATATTTAAAATGAAGTATAAATACATCTAAAATAATACCTTATAATTGCCACGAATAGTGAACGAAATGACCCTTTCAAATGTTGTCTTTGCCTATTACTTTAGAATTGAGACCCTTTTGTGTTCCAAATATGATAAGTATTTATCTTTTTAAGATGTCTATGTGAGCAACATTTAAGTTTACAAAAGTTGTCTTATAATAATATTTTTTAGGCATCTCTCATTTTGATGGTCACAAAAGATGCTCAAGAGGAACATTCATGAAATGCCAATAAATAATATTAATATAGCTTATCAAACAAATGAGTGCTTCTGAGAATATATATATTCCTAATGTGGGGGACCCATGTAAAATATAGTTTTGTGAATACATCCATTAAGTATTTAACTACAAGTCTTTTCTTTGGTCAATAAAATTACAATAGAAACTAGAAGTTAATACATGAAATAATTATCTCCACCCAATTTTTGTAATAAGGATCAAATATGTGATGTCTTTTGTAATTATAATTATAAACAATTTAACTGAAATTATTAAATAGAGGAAAGACATTCTTTTGTATAATATTTGCAACATATGGATATAACCATAACTCGCAGTCATTGGCTCTGCGTAAAGGCTTATCATCACCTTAGCTAGAGGTGTACCCTTCCTCCCTCCTTAATTTAGTGACCCTTATCCAATTTGGCATTTAACCATTTTTATTAAAACATGAATAAAAAATATTAAGCAAAATACACAATGATAAAATAAAACATGAATGAGTAAGAGTAAATAAAATAATCATTTATATGATAGAGCATGCACTTCTTATAGGATAAAATAGTACTTATACATAGTACGAACGTCATCATAAATTTATTTATATGTGACATAGCCTCTTCATCCACCGTTCTCCATACATACGTAAAACATACGTAATATTTTCACTTCTTATAGAGGCTAAGGATTGAAACATTTCTTTTTAAATATACAAATGTGATGATTCTTTTTCTTTGTTTTTTCTTAGGAAGTAGACCATTCTCTCATGTATAAGAACTACAAGATCATCAAGCATTATTGATTGGGTTATAAGCTCTTTCACGTCTATTTTTCTTGATAATAGCTAGTATGATGTTATATCTTGTTTGCATAACATTTTAATTCAAAAAGTTTAGGTTCAGATTGTCTTGATAACTATTTAGTTCAGATTGGGATCAAATACGTAGACCCGTGAGTTAAGATTAACCCAAATAACCCAGATCAACTCAAAATTAATCTGATAACTATTTGAGTTTGGTTTAATAAAGCCAAGTCAAAACAAGCATGTATATTAATTTTGCTGCATTGATCCAGAACATATTCATGATTCATTTAATAAATATATTAGATTGGTGGGTTTTTTATTAGAAAGGTTTTGGTTAAGCTGAATTTGAGGCAAATATTTTGACTAATGTAATAAACTGGTCAGATTATAATTAAGTAGATTTAGATTGGATCAATTTCGGTTCAAACACGAATCAACAAATTTTTTTTCTATGATTCTTTGAAGTAGCATTAAATATGAAGTTACCCAAAAAACTCGTTGTTAGCAAATATTTTTTATTTGGTTCGTTAAGTAGCTTGTGTTCGAATCGTTCGTTAAATATACAACTTGAACACAAACAAATTTCTTAAGCTCGAATTACACACGAGACAAACACAAACAACATTTTGTTCAATCGTGTTCAACTCGAAATAACGAAATTATATATACTTATATGCAACTCGTATGATCATGCGGTTTTACATCTTTTATTGTATAAGCATAGTGCAGGTTTGAATTCAACACCAAGCATCTATCTTTCTAATTAATTTAAACAAATCAATTCAAATTGAACACGAGCTCAAAACAAACACGAACACGAACGTATTGTTCATGAGCCATTTCAACCAAAAGCCAATTTTGAAAAAAAAAAAAAAAAAAAAACAACCCCAAAACAAACA